AGATAGATAGACAGACAACTTTTTATAACAAGATTATACAATTTTAAAACAATTAAGCAAGTTATGTAAAGATTCAAGCTCAAATTAAATTGTTTTAAGTTGGTTAAAAGTGTTTTGAGGGATAAAAACATTAAAATATGGTCAAATACTCCAACATTCAAAAAACTCTGAAGCCCAGTTGCTTTATGTGCCACTTATGTTTCTGTCATTTATCCTTTAGAGCTCTTATTTAATGTAAAAAACATAAAAACAAATTAAATATGTTGTGGCAAGCAGTGAGCTTTAGAGAGTTCTGAAAGGTGGATTTTACCATCAGACTAACTTCTGTCCCTGTTTCCAGTCTACAGGAATGTAAATACTCTCACATAACTCCACTCCTTTACTGTTGTGACCTCTTAGATTTATATTTATGTGAGGTTGTGATGGATCTGTTCACTCTAAATGTAATCCTACAGATGTTTCTCCTCTTGTTCGTAGCTCACTGGAGCTCACACCACTACCTGGCCTGTTTGTTCATCATGGTCACCTGCTCCGGACCAGCTTCGGCTCTCCACGTCCCTCCGGCCAACACGGGCCTCCGCTCTGCTTTCTCTGCCACCCGAACCAACAGCGTAGTGGGAGGCAAGCAGAAGGCGGTGACCTTCAACAAGCTCATGGTCAACATCGGCGGGGACTTCAACCCGGACAGCGGCCACTTCCGCTGCCGCATCCCGGGGGCTTATTACTTCTCCTACTCCGTGGGGAAGTTCCCCAAGAAGATGCTTTCGGTCATACTGGTGAAGAACGGAGAGGAGGTGCAGGCCATAGCGTACGATGACTACCGCAAGAAAGGCAGGAAAGTCCAGAGCCAGAGCGTGATGATCAGCTTGAAGGAAATGGACACCGTGTGGCTGCTTCTACAGCAGAGCCCCCAGTACGCTCTGTACAGCAACGCCGGGCCTTACATCACCTTCTCCGGTTATCTCGTCTATCCCGACATCCCACCGACCAGCTACATCAGCAACCACCTGTCCTCCCCGGCGCTGTCCTACCCAAACTGCCCCTCTCAGGCCGACAACGGGGTCAGAGGTCAAGCGACGGAGCAGTCGGCCTTCTCGGTGGCCCGGACGTCCACGTTAATGGGTCACAGCAGCAGGCAGCAGGACAAGCCGCCCCTGACCTTTGACGTGGAGTATGTCAACATCGGAGGCCACTTCAACAAAACATCGGGCCTGTTCACCTGCCACGTCCCGGGGGCGTACTTCTTCGCCTACACTGTGGGGAAACACCCCCGCAAGGCCGTTTCCGTGAAGCTGATGACCGGGAAGGGCGAGGTGCAGGCGATGGTGTTCGATGAGGACACGTCAAAGAGGAGGGAGATGCAGAGCCAGAGCCTGCTGCTGTCTCTCCGTGGAGGCGACAGAGTTTGGCTGTACAGCCAGCAGGATGAGCGTTACGCCGTTTACAGCAACCAGGGGAGGTACACCACGTTTTCTGGCTTCCTGGTTTATCCTGATGCAGAAACGCCTTCCACCAACCAGGACAGAACTCACCTATAAAGGCCTTCACTCTTCACGTTGTCGTTAAATAAACAAACCTGTAGTAAATCTGTAGCTTGTTTCCTCGTGGACGGAGCAGAGAGAGTCTTCAGTCTGCTGTCAGTGTAGTGTAAGTGCTTTTATGGCTTTGTTATTATCTCTATTGTATTTTCTTAGTAAATAATAATGAAAGAGTTGCTGAATTTACTCCACAAGATGGTGCTGTAACACAATTATGGACATTCAGCAGGAGGCAAGACTCTTGTCCTTAAAGTGCAATTAGCTACAAGAGATCACAAAAGAATACATGTGTGTTTATATAATACGTTAATGATTAATCAACATTTTTGGGGGGGATTCTTTTATATTTGGAGATTTTGTTACATGTAAAAATTAAAAAAAAATCATTGTTGCAAGAACAAGTGAATATGTATATTCTGTAAAATGTATTAAAATGGATTTACTATCAAAACGAGGCTTGTGGTCGTGTTATGTTTTATATTGCAGATGGATCTGTTTTAATATTTTGCATGCACTTTGGTAAAAATGTAATAAATTCATTCTTTTTAATGTATTAAAATGTTCTTAATTCTTAAAAGTCAAATTAAAATTCAGTTGAGTTTATGTTCTAAAATGTAAAGTGATGCTTTATTACTGTATTCATGACAACAAAGAATGAAAAATGTTTCTTCCCTCTGAAAATGGTGACTCCAGCTGTTACTACCACCAACACTGCAGGAGGTGCTGCTGCTACAGGTGATAAAGCTTCTGGTTCCACAAAGAAAGAAAGAGCAAAAGATAATAACGGACCATTCAACAGCCATCCATCCATTATCTATACACCGCTTAGTCCTCACTAGGGTCATGGGGGGCTGGAGTCTATCCCAGCTGACTCAGGGTGAAGGCAGCTGGACAGGTCACCAGTCTATCACAGGGCTACACTTAGAGACAGACAAACAAGCACACTCACATTCACACCTACGGACAATTTAGAATCACCAGTTAACCTCAACATGTTTTTGGATTGTGGGAGGAAGCTGGAGAACCTGGAGAGAACCCATACTGCAACATGCAAACTTCACGCAGAAAGATCCTGTCCTCACCGGGATGTGAACCAGAGATCTTCTAGCAAGGCAACGGTGTTAACCACAGAGCCACCTTGCAGCCCACTATTCAACATAAGGGTCTACAATAAATTTAAAAAAAAGTTCAACAGCAATGTTAAATATTCTTTATTGCCTTTTAGAAAATTGGCTAAAACATGGAAAAACAAATTGAGGCGCCCTTTTTCTTAGTCGAGGGTTAAATGTAGGAATAAACATGACATTTAAAAAAATCAATGATTTTTCTGGGGTGTTCCTGCAAATTACATAATGGACTAATATACAGTATGTTATACACATCAGGACAAGTCTTAGATATAAATATTTAAACATTTAGTAATTTGAGCACTCTTCTGCTGATAAAGGGTGAGGATTATAATCTTCCAGATGTTGTATCTGAGTTTTTTTAAGTCTTCTATGAACAATTCTCTTGTGTTAACTAACAGGTACAAAAAATATTCCTATGTAAACCTGATTCCTGAAAACCTTGTCGTCTATAGCGACACAACATGTGTACATGTAGCAAGGATGAGATTTACAAATGATAAATGAATGAACCTCTACGTCATCTTACATTATTTATGAGCACCATCTCGGCGTTGAATACGTTCCAGTGTTTGTCTGAATAATCAATATGTTTTACATGAAGTAAAAAAAACAAACAAATGCAAACCTTTGAACAGGTTCCTCATTGTGCCGTAAACCCTTCTACCATTGATATAATAGTGATGTGAGCCATGAAGAAATTCCATCAGTATAGTAAACACAAACTCTAAACCACTGCCAAGGTCACTACATGACTGATGCCGTCAGGGTCGGGCACAGCTCTGGCAAACAGGTTGCGCAAGGATTTCAATTCCAGATCCTCGCGTCCTTGCAGTATAAATACGCGCTGGAGCTGGGCCACCATGTTGTCCTGCAAGTTGAAATTGTTCAGCTTTATCATCCCCGTGTCACCGCTTCCTCTTCCTCCTCTGCTGCTGCTGCTGCTGCGTCACTGCACGTCCCAGATCTCGCAGAGCAACGGGGTGAATTTGTGGTCGTTCATCCTCCAGGACGAGAGCATCTCGGCGTGGTAGTGGTTGAGTGTTCGCAGCTCCGTCAGGCGACCCAGGAGACGAGCAAAGTACTGCGGCTCCTGCGGATGCTGCAGGACGCACAGCTTCCTCAGCACGTCCAGCATCGGCTCCTGAAGCCTCTCGACAGCCAGGTGGTCCTTCACATAAGGCCGGTCTGGAGGGGGGCAGAGGTCACACATGAGGCTTTGTTTTAAGGTTTCAAAGCTTGGAGATTTAGGAGATGGCAAAACATGTCTGGATCTACATCATAGATCTGTTTCCTGTGGCTCACCTGGTGTCAGGATGGTTATGGCGGTGAGCAGAGCCTGTTCCTCCTGCACCATGTGGAGCTCACCGATGCTTTTGTAAAAGTTGAACATGGGTGTGATGAATTCTTCAGATATACCTGCAGGAAAAAAAGACAGTCACATGTTTTAATAAAGTGAATTCTTACAACCAGGATCTCCTTAAAAACTTAAGTGCAGATGCTGAACAATGTCAGGAGTTGTTGTTTAATTACTGGTTAAAGTGCACATACAGTAATATATAAGCGATACAATAACGATGCAAAGTTTTAACCAAAGTCAAATAGTTGTAAGTCACACAAACACATGTAATAGTAACCTTTCATATCAACCATGCAATTCTGTCTTAAAGTTAAATATTACAGTTTTAGAGCCACAAACAGAGGCTTACTTTACCCGCTAAAAACCATCCTAACACCAAAATCTACACTTGTACAGCAAACTGACCTCCTCCAGAATAAGAGTGATACGTATTATGCAGATGATGTTCTTCTTTGCCTCATGAGATGAACTAATCTGATGAATGATGGAGCAAAAAAACTCCAAAAAGATGTTAAAAACAAGTATAGTTTTATAGCTTTAAGAGGCACAAATAGAAGATTAAAGCTGTCAGCACTGATTAATGGACCCTGCTGATGATTAGAGGTGCTGGTGGTGTACTGGTTGAAACAGCTATGCACTTTTGTGACCCATCACTCGATGCATGTGCAGCGTCCGATAGGTGTCCCTATCGTCCTCAAATGTATTCTTACTCTACCATTAAAGAAAAGGCTAGATTCACAATAGTTACTCAAATAACTAGAAACTGAAAAAGGTAATAATAAATAAAAAATTGCCAAATTATAATTTAGTGAAATAAGACATTGGTTTTGGATTGTGGTTGAAAAGAATAATTAAACAAACAAGCAAACAAAACTGTCCCAGACAAATTAGAGCACTTTGCTGATGAGCAGTGGACCAGAATAGCTGTCAACAGGTGCAGAAGTCTGACTGAGAGTTACAGAAAACACCTGATTGCAGTGATTGGCTCAAAGGGTTGTTCAACTAAATACTAGTTTACGGATCCCATCAGGACTTTTTTGTTTTAAGTATCAGAGCTGCTAACTGAGAAAACTATGAGTGAATTCAATATGGCTGACTTTGTGTGGCACTTATGACCTGGCTGCAAGAGGCTTTTTCATACATCTGGAAATGGTACATGTGCCTGTAGGGGACATCTAGTCTCATATAGCTAAACCATCTCCCATCACTGACACGGCGCTGTGTGGAGCGGTCAGTCAATCCATAAAAGAAAGGCTAATAAAAGAAGAAATATAAAGACAAA